CATTACTGTACGCAAAGCCGTTAATAAAATACAGTTTGTTTGGTAATTTAATAAATAATATAAAGATAATATAAATAACACGCCGTATAATTGCTGTTTTTACATTATTGCCATGGTTATAGGGTTTAATAAGACACAATTAACGTAAGATTTAATAAAATTATATATAAATAATTGCCTTTGGCTTACCGCCGCGTCTGTATCCTTTCTAGTAACTCTCGTCTTTAGGTGGAGCTCCAGCTGTTCTGTTCAATTAAAACAGAGCCGCGTTTCCCTCTAGCGGTCATCAATAGTCCCTGCATTTTACACTCAGCCTGGGGAGGTTCATAGAGCAGAACAAAAATAGTTTACCTGATGAAATAAAGAACAAATAATTTAAAACGCAGACTTAAAAAATCACCAGAAAATTAAATAAGCTTAATAAACTGTGCTGACAACAATTAAGAAAAGCCTTCTAAAAATACACGTTTCTCTTACAGGGATAGTTCGCACAGAAATTAAAAGTTAATCATCTAGACCTTTATGAGTTTCTTCTGTTGAACTTTAAAGAACAAACTTTGAGAGTAAAAACACCTTTTTATATGTAAAGAACTCTTTCAAAATGACCCCTTTTACCTAATACATAATAAATGGATATTAATAATAATTCACTCAGCTATATTCATAATGTAATTTTAGGACTTTTGTGTGTTTTATGACTTCAATATGTCTAGAATTCCCTTAGAATTTAGCCTAAATGTATTATTATTTTTATTTTAGTAATAATATATTTATTTTCAAGCCTGTGAGGATCTTTCATAGATCAAAACAATAATAATTATAGGTGATTGTTGTTTATATTATAGCGGTTCATTCCACTATGGCGACCACAAGTAAATAAAGAGACTAAGCCGAAGGTAAGTTCATGAATAGGTTTATTTTATCCTTTTAATTAGCTTTTAATATTTGTGTTTTTATTTAAACATTTATTATTATTTAATTTAAAGCATTAATTATTATTATTATTATTATTATTATTGTTATTATTATTTAAACGACCTCAAAATGACTAAAACTTTAATAAATGTTTGGTTGAAAGCACAGTTATTAAAAAGCTCATTGAAAATACTAATACAAGCTACAATAGTTACTTGATGTCAGTCTGTTAAATTGTCAGGAGAGGGCGCTGTTGGATTTCAGCAGAACTAACAGCTGTGTTTACTATTTTGCTATTACATTTATGTACAGCAAAGCCAGTATTCTGTAAATCAGGTCTTCCGTACATAAAAAAAAGTCATGTAAAATAAATATAAAAAAAGGTGTTTGGAATCTAAATGGTGTACTTTGAGGTTTTAGGGCAGAGGTTCAGGGGTTACTACTGTCGCCTCACAGCATTAAGGTTGCTGGTTCGAACCCAAGGCTGGGTCAAGTAGCATTTCTGTGTGGAGTATTGTGGGGGGAAAATTTTTTTTATTATTATTACTTTTGTGTCTTTGTTTTTTATAAGAAAATTGTTAAGACTAACAACAGATTAAACAATTTTTCTCATATGTATGAGATCACATATTGACCAGACACGCTTCCTCTTTTTACTGTGCTGCATACTTTTAGAAGGAACATGCCGACAAGATAGAAATAGCAGAATAAGTGTGGGGGCTTTTGTTTAATGCAAAGTCAAGACATTTCACAAGTTGTCATGATGCTTGTAGAAGTTCATTCATTCATTCATTTTCTTGTCAGCTTAGTCCCTTTATTAATCTGGGGTCGCCACAGCGGAATGAACCGCCAACTTATCCAGCATGTTTTTACGCAGCGGATGCCCTTCCAGCCACAACCCTTCTTTGGGAAAGCTTATAGAAGTTGTCAAATTTATTAAAGATGCACGTAATTGTTCAGTTCTGGTATGCAGAGAAGGGTTGCAGAAAGAGGAAGTATGTCTGGGGTATAAGTGCCAAAGGACTGCAGGGGGGGGCAAGTCGGAGCACACACTCTGGTACCCCGAGCTCTGCGTTGGTTGGGGAATTTCTAAATTAAACCAAAAACACTCTACAGCAATTGGCTTAAGATTGGAAAACAAAATTTGTGACATTGCAACCTGCAGAACCATGCAGGGAAATTTAAAAACTAAATAAATAAATAAGTAATAATAATAATGTCTTATGGCTTTGTGTGTCAGCTGGGCAATGACCAAATGTACTACAGAATATTGTGTTTACACATATCCACACATTACATGTAAATGCATCAGCTTTTTTACAGCATAATACTCACTACTCACTAGTCTTGAGTGCTTTTGAAAGGTCTACTCTTTACTACTCTTTACTCTTTATTTTGAGTGTTATTTACAACAGCTACTTTTACTCTAGTGTATGTGGGTGAATGAGAGTGTATGGGTGTTTCCCAGAACTGGGTTGCAGCTGGATGGTCATCCACTGTGCAAAACAAATGCTGCAAAAGTTGGCGGTTCATTTCACTGTGGCGAGAGGAAAGTGAATGAATGAATGAATGAATGAATGAATGAATGACTTTGAGGTTTTGCAATATAGTAGGCTCTACATTGTAGGCTACATATCTTTTACACTCTTCAGTATTAAAGCTTATTGTATGTAATGGAATGTAGTGTAATCAGCTATCTGTCAGACACACAAAGGGAAATCAGATCCCGATAAAATGTGATCTGTCGTGTTTAAAACACTAGATGGCGTTGTTGCTCTTTCTCCGCTGATTGAGTTTCTTTCTCTTCATCTGTTCACCAGAAAACCGGACATTCTCGATATTATTGATATTACAGGTTTAATTATCGCTTCATTTGTCGAAATGTGAGGCTAGTTTACATATGTCTTGTTTTATTTGCTTGAGTCTTCAGTCAAAACCCTTGTTTTGGCTCAAGCTCGTGCACGAGTGCATTACAGACACTAGAGGACGCGCGAACTCATCGCATCAGTTTTATATGGCAGCAGGCCCGTAGCCAGCCTGGTAATAGAGGTGGTTCTTTTCTTCTCAAAAAGTGGACCTTTTTGCAGTTATACGCCTCAGCTTCTATTTAACTATGAGATTTAAATACTGCATTTTAGTGACATTCTAAGCAGTCCTTTTTTTCTGGATTAGCTAGTCACACGTCATCATAACCACACTTTTTGATGTACTAAAAATATTTTTTTTAAAATTGCAATAAGGAAAAATAAAACATTTTATACAAATTAATTAAATCATATTTCATAAGGAAAAAATAGGCATCTGTTAAAAAAAATACATGTAAATGTAAAAGTGTAAAAGTAAAAATGTAAAAGTAACAAAATTGTAGCCTACTGTCATTTATTAGACATAAAACAAACTAGCCAGCACCTTCAACTGTCCTCGGACACAGTTTGGTCATTTCAATAAAAAACTAATAATTAAAACATAATAATAATAATAATAATAATAAGAAGAAGAAGAAGAAGAAGAAGAAAAAGAAGATGAAGAATAACAACAATAATAATAATAATAGACGTTTCATTCCGCTGTGGCGAGCCCAGTTTAATAAAAGGACTAAGCCAAAAAAATTTATAATAATAATAATAATAATAATAATAAGCGGTTCATTCCACTGTAGTGACCTCAGTTTAATAAAGGGACTAACCCAAAAATATGAATGAATGAAAAATATTATTATTAATAATATTATTATTAATAATAATAATAATAATAATAATAATAATAATAATAATAATAAAACAATAATAATGAATTATTCAGAATTTTTTCCTGGACATCAACAATAAGCAAAAAATATTCAAATCCATGTAATTTGGTCGCTTCAGGTGCTTTACACCTTTTTATTGCTTATTTTTATTTCATAAATATATATTGGCATTTTATTTATTACAACAGAGTTTGATTTACTTAAAAACAACTTTTTTATTTTTGTTATTATTATTTTATTTTATTATTATTATTAATAAATAATATATTTATATTATTTTAATAGTTTATATTTAACATTATTATTATTTTATCATTATTATTGTTATTATTATTATTATTATTATTATTATTACTATTATTATTATTATTATTATTATTATTAATTTGTCTGTCGTTATATTTTTTATTTTATTTTAAAGTCTGAGAAAAAAAACTATAGGCATTTTATTTATTACAACAAAGTTTAGTGTATAAAAAGCTATATTGTAATAATTATGATTATATTATTGTTGTACCTAGTACTGGCTTGCGCCTGGAAGGGCATCCGTCCATTCCGCTTTGGCGATCCCCTGATAAATAAGCGACTAAGCTGAAGGAAAATAAATAAAAGGACAATAATTATTATTATCAATAATTTGTCTGTCTGTTATTTATTTCTTTATTTGTTTATTTTATTTTAAAGTATATATAATATATTTAGGCATCTTAACTGTGACAACTGAGATGTTATAAAAACAACTTTCACATTTTTAGCTATTTTTATTATTGTTATATTATTAATAAATAATATGTGTGTTACTTTAATAGTTAATATTTACAACCATTATTATTATTTTCAATATTTATCTGTCTGTTATTTATTTATTTACGTTACATTCCAATCATTTATGCAACAAACACGTTTATTTTCAGGAGACCATGAAAACTGCGGCATTTTCTGACTCCCCTGTCAACTGCACATTCATGCAAAAGCTTACAAAAAACCGATCCAGAAATCTGCTTTAATTGAATGCCCAGTCGTGCGTTCATATGGCCATTTTGTTTTGGTTTTCCTCGTGCACATGAAAACTGGAAGGAAAAAAAATCTGACGTTTGCGGATTTAATCTAAACTACGGACAGCCACTTATCACGCATGGGATGTTCATGCACACCACTATAAAACATCAGAACAGTTTTACCCTCATGCACACGCGCGCGTTCATATTAGTGATTTCTCCTCGTGCATATGGCGAATAGATGGTGCACTGAATGACTGGTGCGTTCAGTCGTGCGTCAGAAACAGAGGTCCTCCCCTTGTGTTTCCATGTCTCTCTCTCTCGCTTTCTGTCCCCCTCCCTTCCTCTCTTCTCTTCTGGCATCCCCATCCCCCATCGCTTTATGTGCTTCCATACAGCCTGAAAAATCAACCGGAGGAGGAAACCTTCACACTCAACGGAGAATAGACTGACCCACAGAACACCGCTGGAAACCGGGATCACAGACTGGATCAGGGTGACCCATCTTGAACCTGCTTCACACTGGTGAGTCACGTTTCATCTAGTTTTCATTTCCCCCTCCAACAAAAAGTCCAGAAACAGCATTCGAGCTCCACCACCATCAAACAGCAGCAGTGCATTTCTCCTGCCAGTGTGTGTGTTTGTGTGTTAGTGATGGTCAAGCTCTTTCTAATGCAATCCAATGGTGATTAATTAAAGAGAGGGGAATAAAAACGAACGCGTTCGCCTTTTCTGTCCGAGTTCGGAATATCATATTTCAGAACGCGAGCCGCGAATGAGATGCATTTTTTTTTTCTTTCTCAAAGCTGACTTTGTTCATTCCCTTGTCATGCATTTGGACATTCCATAGAGCTGAGACAGAGAGACACTCAAAATGGTGTCTGGAGGAGTTTGAGGCCTTTAAACGCATTGGGATCCGATCATAAACGCGAATATAGACGCGCGATTGAACAATCAGACGCATCCATGTGCAACAATGTAACTGCGATTATGACGCAATAAAGATCTTTTGTTGATCAGCGTTCTAAATGGAACGCGCGTTCGAGCGCCAGTTCCACTTTCTCCTTTTTTTTAGCCGCTTTCGACCAAAATGCCAACGATTTCTTTTAAATATGGTGTTATTATTTTAAATATGGCATATTTTTTTGTTGTTGCATTCTTGGATTGTTGATACAAAGGAAAACTGCACGTTGGTTCACATCGAATGCAGTCGGTGTGTTTCTGGATATTGTTTCTGTGCATGTTCATGAAATTAATTTCACATCTGCTGCCAGTCACAGGGCAGTATGTGGGTGCTTTGTGTTGTAAGGTAGTAGAGGAATGCAAAACAACATTGCCTCCTCCATCACTTGCAGATATAACAATGGGTGACACTTTACATCTATTGTGCATGTAACATATTCATCATATATACAGTTGAATTCAGAATTATTAGCCCTCCTAAATTATTAGCCCCCCTGTTTATTTCCCCCAAATTTCTGTTTAACAAAGAAGATTTTTTTTCAACACATTTCTAAACAATAGTTTTAATAACTCATTTCTAATAACTAATTTATTTATTTCTGATGACAATAAATAATATTTGACTAGATATTTTTTCAAGACACTTCTATGCAGCTTAAAATGACATTTAAAGGCTTAACTGGGTTAATTAGGTTAACTAGGCAGGTTAGGGTAATTAGGCAAGTTATTGTATAACAATGTTGTTAACAATGTATTGTATAACGATTATTATTTTTTTGATTGTCTACAGAAAACAGTCTGTAGACAATAGGGATAAAAATGTGCGTAAAGGGGCTAATATTTTTGTCCTAAAATGGTGTTTCAAAAATTCAAAGCTGCTGTTATCCTACCCAAATAAAACAAAAAAGACTTTCTCCAGAAGAAAAAAATATTATCTTGCTATAAATATAAATATCATACATGCAATGAAATTTCCTTGCTCTGTTAATCATCATTTGGGAAA